GGCGACTGCAAAGGTGGAGAGCTTTGCTTTCCCAAGCGAGCTTCCCAGTGGCGCGAGCTGGAGCAAATCGGAAGAGACAGGACCTGGCTCTCCGAATCAGGATCTTGGTGTTGCTTCTTTTCCTCTGAGCTTCACTGTGTGAGGGAGGTCACGGCAGGGTGTCGCGTCATGGCGACCTTCAACGTTTTTGGGAGCCCAGCGACTGAGAACTCCGAGACGGCTTTCCCCGAGAGTTCCAAACAGAACCGCTTGTTGTCGTTGCCACGGCACGCCTTGCAGCAGGTGGTTTTGAGAAGCGGCATGGGCAGCACGTATTGCTGCAGCTGCACATGCTCTTTTCAGCGTGACTTATTGGGCGGCCCTTCCCAGATTCTACAACTTTGGCTCGGTGAATTCAAGCAGCGCCTGCGAGCAGAAATGGGGGACAAAGCCTTGCTTGGTATACCATTCCACAACATGTACAGTTTCAACAGCTCTGGCGTCCTGAGGCCTCATCATTTGAGGGGGAGGGATTGGCTCCTTTACAAAGCATTGGTGGCTTTGGGATGGCATTGCCGCTTGGTGGAGTGCGCCGTGAGTTGCGAAACCGGCGGGGAGTGCAAGGGGCTTTCAAGAGCTCGTATCGGCCAGGACATGACAGAAGGTTTTCTGCCCGGCTCCGGTCCGGGAGCGATCAAGGTCCCTGAAGAATTTCAAGCCTTGGCAGGGAGAAACAGCTTGAGCCAGGACGAATATTTTTTCTTGCGTGAAACCAACGGGGAGCTAGATTGGGAAGTGCCACCCCACATTGTTTGGCCATTCCGGGGCGTCAAGTGGGCAGTTTCTCGGGCCTATTTTACCAAACGCCTGCTTGGAGAGTCTAAATCCTGCTCTAGGTCTGCAACACTCTGGGGCAATGCCGGGCAATTCCGCGTCTTTTACTACCGACGCGCAGCCTTACTCTGTGAGATGGAACCCTGCGACAGCACTCATGTTCGCAGATTTGACCCCGATTTCTATTCAGCGTATCACGCTGTTGGAGATGTTAGGGGAGAGCCTGGACTTGAAGCCCTTTAACTTGCGGTCGATTCAATGGTGTAGGGCTCCAACACCGAAAGAGAGAAGCAAAGGCTCGGCTACGCAATCGCAGTCCCTCCCTACGTGGAGTCAGGGTAACGGTTTAGGGTTTAGGAATGTGGTTCAGACTATGGGAATCCAGGTAGCCTAGGGTCTTTTGCTAGAACGTCTTTATTTACGGGATCTGTGCGGCCGCGTCCCCGGAAACCCAAATCCATAACAAGTGTTGGTACACTGCTCTCCTTTGAGTCTTTGCATCGCCGTGGTGTTCCGATGGTCTCTCCTGGTCCACTGGTCGTCACGGCTGTCGCCGTGGTCCATCACCTTAGGTTGCTTAGTATGACTACAGTTTAATATACCCCGAAACCCTGTTCTAAGTATTCAGAGGGTGGGGCTTGGGAGGAGGGGTCAAAGAATCGGGCTTTTCAATTGGTTGTTCCATGCGTTCTGCGAGCCTTGCGATGGAGGAAGGCACACTGGAAGCTGAAGTTTCTGAGAATCGTGGGCCCCAATTTCGGGGGCCCTCGTATTCAAGATCCTACCTCTTGGCGTTCTTTACCCGGGTCCTCTGTTACCCGAATGAGATTCCCAGACAGATGCTGCGACAGGTTTATCGGTATCTCCTCCCTGCGGTTTCAGTGACATCAACACCTGCTTCTTCAGGTAAAGGGGCATGAAATCATATGGGGATTTCCGAAAGTAGGGGGCCCTAATATAGTACCTTAAATAGTAGGATCCTTATTATAAGGACCCCAAGATAGGGTACCCCTTATTTTCGGAAACTGCCCTATAGGGAATCCTTCTACAGTAAGCCGTACATTCCTTGTGTAAGGCGAGCTGGGCTCTCAACAGGCTCGAAACTACGAAGACACCATCGTGGAACCCATGTGATGTGCCTGGCCCATGGAGATCGGAATCAGCATCCATCCCTAACCCTAAACCCTAAACCCTACATGCTCATGGGGGGCTTTCGGAGAGGTGAAGGTGGTTGAGACCGAGAAGGTGCTCAAAACGCTCCCTGGTGCACGGGCGATCTGGTCTTCTGACGGCTTTTCCTCGGTAGTATTAGGGAGACCCCGCAAAAGGGGACCCTTCTTAACTCTACTCATGGCTCCTTAGAAGGGACCTTATTGAGAGGGTCTATATCCCCAAAAGTCCCCCTGATCCTAACTCCTAGGCTTCTACACGCCGACTCAAAACGTGGCAGTTTCCTCGTCAGCTTTGGGGGCATAAGGCCTGCAGAAAATCATTGGATGTAGCTGCATGAGAGAGACATTGTACATTTGGTTCTGAAGCTCAGGGCATCCTCTTGTCGTTTCTTGCCGCTTTAAGTGCCCTAAACCCTAAACCCTAAACCCTAAACCTTAAACCCTAGACCCTAAACCCTAAGCAGCAGCAAGCCTATTCACAGGAAGCTACTGCAGGCCCGCTCCGCACGCAATCGGGACTTGCCGCCTTTATGGAAAGAACTTGTGCAAGTCAAACTCCCTGAAGCTTGGACCCCGGGGTTTAGGGTTTAGGGTTTAGGGTCCCGAATCTAGAGAGAAAGTCTTCTTAAGCGTGTCGATGCACATTATATTGTCATAGAGCAGACTATGCTGTCGGATTTCATAAACGCTACAGATTATAGATACGGGCATTTGTTCCTAAGCCTTCCCTTGGTCGAAGCTAAGGCTCATCAAGCAGCTGAACAGCTCCTACACCCCGGCTTTGAACGAGGCGGAGGTGACTCTCGGAATTCTGCCCTCGGCTTTCTCTTGCAGGCTTCTGTCTTAGGCTTTGAATTAGGTCTTCGGTTTTATTTGTGGTCCCGGGTTCAGGGCTTGTAGGGGGTTTTGCAGCCTCTTCGACGGAGATCCCTTCGTCACGCTGGCCGTTTCAAGACTGGTGCGATGGGAATTGGGCTTTCAAGCATGGAGCTTCTTGCAGCGGACTTGCGAAAGTTAGTCGCTCCAAACCACGTCTTATAATAATAATAATCATCATCATCATCATAATCATAGTAATAACAATAGTAGTAATAGTAATAGTAATAATAGTGACTGCCCTTACGCGCATAGCCAGCCTTAGCCTATCCCCGAAGTACCGAAGTACGGATGTTCATGGCCCCTGGAGGACCCTACTTGGAGGTTCATGGGTAGTTATAAGTGGGGTTATAAGTCCCCTAATATGGGTTATTATTACTTATAACCCCACTTCTAACTCTCCATGAACCTCCAAGGACTATGACTTCCTTATAGGATCCCTTGTAGTCCTGGCTCTCAGGGGAATGGCTCTGGCAAAGCTCAGGAGAGGGCCGTTTGGGCTGAAGACAGGGCTGCAGTTTGAGATCGCTGAGGGTCGACATAGCCACTTTTGAGGAGAAGAGTGATGGGCTGGGGTATTTGGGGTTGCATGACCTGATTCCGAAGGTTTCGTTTCAGTACCGTTTTTGCAGCTCCGAGCAGAAAATCTCTGCAGCGCGCATCGAACCAGATTGGGGTCAGAAAACGAAACAAACCCGAAGTCCAAGAATCGGAGACCTAAGTTGCTTCCAAGACTTCTTCTGAGTTTGTATCGCTGTGTATGTATCTGATCCTTTTTGACTTTATCATTGTAGATGAATCCATAGTATTCTGTATCTAGGAGGGCTCGCAAGAAATGCACAGACCTCGTCACAGAAGCACGTCAATCCGTGGCGACAGTAATCATCGGAGCGGGCGTGATTTTTTTGGGCCCGAGCCGCAAAGAGGCCCCACCAGATAATCCCTCAAAGCCGGCCCTGTTGAACCCTTATAGTAGGTGGGTCGGTCGGCCGCTCGGTCACCACAGGCGGCCCTGGATCGCACTTTGCCTCAGGATCCTGGCACCGGACGTATTTCCGGATCGTACTTTTGGGGGAGATCGCAGTTTACAAATCGTATTGCGCTCCTACTCAGCTCCCATTACAGAAGCACAGCCCAAGTACGATCCCGTGATACGATGTGGGGCAAGGGTCCTGAGGCAAAGTACGATTCCGAGATACGATCTGGAAGAGGGCTCCCGCACAAATCACGCCTCGGAGGGGCGTTCTCCGCAACCACGATCCAAGGAAGACATTGCCTGTATGCATGTAGTGATGATTGATAGGTGCAGTTATCTATCAGGATGGAAGGAAGAACCTAGAAGAAAAGGAAGAAAGGCAGACTGTCGGTACGCCGTAGCATGCACACATACATATGTTTGCTTCTGTTCGAGTCTGTTCTAGAGTCTGGAGCTAGTGTAGTCATGCCAAGACGTATAGCTTCAGGTATTACCACGCAACTGTTGTTGCGTTGTGCAAGCATGTACGTACCATAATCCGTACTCTGCGATCGCACTTGTTTAACTCATGCTTAGATTGTACATGAACCCATACGGTGGATCAACAGTAACAACGCGTTTCTAGGGTTCTACAACAGTAGCTAGGTCTCCTACATCTAAAGCGTAATGCATATCTTTATACTTTACTATGTTGCTGTAGGCTGCTTCATACTGCTCTGCGTTACTAAACATAGACAGAAATATGAGCAAATGAAGATATATGTAAGTAAATATATACATAATTGGGTAAACAGATACGAAACATATATAAACACATAAACAAAACATGAACAAATACATCATAATATACAAACCAGTGTGTATATGCAATGTCTGTTTGTGTGTCTGTCTGTCTGTCTGTCTGTCTGTCTGTCTGTCTGTCTGTATGCATTTATGTACGTATGTACGTATGTGTGCCTTTGCATGTCATGTTACTGAGCATTTCCATCGTCTGAAAGCCCCGGATGGGTCCCCAACAGCCCCGAAGCAGTTCGCCCGAATCCCTACACTTGAGCTATTATAGGGGTTTGAGCAATTGGCCTGAGAGTCCTTTGCGACAGATATCCTAATGGACCCCAACACCCTATGTTCATAGCACTCCTCATGAAGTCGCCCCTTGTTCGCTTGGAGAATCCTACGTATGAAGCCCCTGATCCTTCAAGAACCAGGGCCCGGGTCCTGATGCCTTGAAGGGCGCCATGCAGCGTCTGCTCGAGGCGGGCTGGGCTCGTTTGGTACCTAAGGGGTCCGAAGGGCGTAAAGAGGGACCTATAAAGTCTAGAGGGGATGTTAGTCAGGGATTTTGTAAGGGTTCGAGACCCCCAACCAGTGTGGTACACACTTTAGGCGAGGCACGACCGCCGCGAGCCTCCCGGGGACGCGGTAGCGCTCCGCTGTGGTGTTCTGCTTTTGGCATCGCAGGATATGTGGGAAAGCATCCCTGTGCTACAGTAGATGGGGGAGGCCTTGTGGTCGCAGCCTGGTGGTCTCTCCATGGATTCCCGGTGGTCTTGTCAGCGGTCTCCTCGAAATTCGTCGTGCTTGCTGTGTAGATTTCCTGATGGCAGCTATGATAGCTGTGGTGATGCTGCTGATGATGACGATGGTGACGATGCTGACATGATGCCGGTGGTGATCATGACAATGATCACAACACTGATGCCGAGGCTGGGTGACTGAAGGGGACGGGGCTCGATAATCCTGGTTCGCAAGAAAGCAGCACGCTGCAGCATGGCTGTGGCAGCAGACCAATCGTCATGCCAGCTGCAGTGTGAAGGAGAAAGTAGGTATGACAATCAGCGACTGCAGGCTCGAATTCACATCTTCAATACTCACGAAGATCCCGCAGAAGAAACAAACCTACATTATCCATCAACAGCAGCATGAACAGCAACAGCAGAAGTAGCAGTAATAACAGCAGCACAGTAGTAGGAGTAGTGCGAGACGAGAAGGAGGAGGAGTGTCGTTGTCGTCGTAGTAGCGCGCGGTTTGTTATTCGCCTGGAGTTTTTTTGTCACCGGCTTCACCTCATGACTATGAAGTTGCGGGTGCTGCAGTCAGAAGCCAGGCAAGATGAGCCCTGGATCCCTCCGTACAGCTTTGAAGCTTGTAACAAAACTAGTCCTTGTCGCCGAGCAGGAACACGACCAGCTCATCCAGCAGCAGAACGACCTGCTGAATCGGCTGGAAACCCGGCCGGTCGATGCAGCTCTTGCGAAAGACTGGCACGGATTTCCAGGAATGGGTAGCTCGTGCCGAAACCCCTGCGACGAGATTCCGCCTTTTCTTTGCCCTCCATGTTCACTTGTGAGTTTCCGTTCCTTATGGCGTGTGTGACCCCTCGGTTTGCAGCAATCGCTGGCTTGGATAATGCCGGCTGCTTGACAAGTTGTGGTAAGCTACTGCAGGCACCGTGGCAAGCACACTGGTGGAGAGTTGTAGGACCCCAAAGAACGTATTGCATGTGGTCTTCGTTGCGGGCGAAAGCTCGAGAACATGCATCAAACAGTTGGCTGACGGCTTGGATGAGGCATTTCTGCGATAGGAGAGGAGTATAGAAAGCACGAGGCCTGGCCACTCCAGGCAAGGGACAAGCCTCTTCGGAAAAATTTCGAGTTCGGTTTGAGTGCTTCTTCTGAGGCGCCAGCCGCTTTCCCAGTCTGTGCGGGCGCCGCCTGTGCCTTGGCCATCGTCAGTGGCCACGACCACTGCAGGACCGGGCACTTGGACCAAAAAGACTAGTTCAGGGAGTATCAGGGACTGTTCACCGTTCAGAGCTCTCGTTGGTTGCGGCAGGCCCTGGGGCTCGCGGGTCCTGCTGCCAGATAGCGGACACGTCCATTCCGTCCTCGTCACGTCGTGTGTGCAACCAGGCATATAGTGGATGCATAGGGCCACCCCTGAAGCACTGTCGACATTTCTGGACATGTCTGGTAAAACTTCCGCCGAAGGAGCTCCAATCCGTTGGACCGTTTGGACCTCGGTCGCAGATCTGCGAGTCTGTAGTAGGAAGAGGTGTTATGCAGAGTATTGTAGAGGACAATGTAGAGTTCAGATAGTCGTATCGCATACAGCTGTGTAGTACATAACCGTCGCTGCAGGAATATAGCGTTGCAGAAGTGCATGCGCAAGTTAGCATCAGGGATACCGATGTTCCATAGCCGTTCAGGCCAAAGCTTCGGAACAGTTCGCAAATCGGTAGTTGCAAGATGAGGGTCTCGGCAAGGTTAGATTCTCAGATGTCAGAGTTTGGGATTCGGTCGCCTTGTGACGCAGTCGGTCCAACAGAGATCCAAACTACGGCCTCGGCCCCCTGAGCCCACGATACCGGCTTCTGTAAGAGACATGCACTACTCGGAAACTTGGGCGGCAACATCCAAGAGGCCAGTTTTTTGGCCCGCAACCTGTCGTTGTCAGGCCCTGTGCCGAAAGCTTGCAACTCCCGTGCAAGGTTTTGCAACTTTTTCTCAAGCAAGAAGTCACTGAGGCGCCCGCCAATACCAGCTCTGTCCAGGCCGCGGCCGTTGTGTCCTCGGGGCCTTAGGCATTTCATCGATGCCTATTCCGATGGTACGTAGTGGACCCGTGATGTTGTCGTGTCATGTCGTGTCCAAGCTGTGAATTGGCATAGCATCGGGGCCGGTTAGGAGTCAGGGTGTACCCAAATCGGCAAGAAGGGCGCCTCCCAACCAGAATCCTGCAAGCTATTTACCGTATTTTCGTGCAAACACAGAAACACTAAGAGCTCAAATGAAGATTCGGAGTTACGGATGAGATTTGCTACCACTTGCCATGTTCAGGCTGCACCCCATCGACCCTCACTATCCGAATCCTTTTGGATCTTCAAGCCTTAAAGCACTAGATCCCAAGCTCCGAAGCCCCACAAACGAGCCAAATCCGGGACAATAAGCTCTTAAGTCCGCTCGCAGGCCCTCAAACCCTGAGCAACCCGAAACGCTTGGAGGTTCATGGGTAGTTATGAGTGGGGTTATACGTCCCCTCATATGGCTTATAGTTATAGGTACCCTACTTATAACCCTACTTATGACTACCCATGAACCTCCAAGCAGCCCCGGATCAGGGCGGTCAGCCTGCCAGGGTACCCGGCGCTGCGAGGGCCCTAGTCCTTCAAGTGCAACCTTCGCGTCAGTGTTGTTCTGATCAGTTCTGATGGTTACTACTATTGCTGTTGGCACGGTTGTTTTAGGGTTGTTGCGATACATTTCTTATTGTTTCATTCCTGTTAGCCTTATTTATGTTATTGTTGTTGAGTGTATATATATATATATACATATATATATATATATGTGTGCTTACCGTTACTACAAACATTAGTATGATTGCTAGTAGTTCTAGTGCAATGATAGTGCAATAATATCTATCAAGCCCTTATTGAGGATATTGATTTTCGCTATCTGTGTTAATGAGTATTCTTCTTACCCTCACTATCGTTATTGTTGCGAATATCGTTATGAATCGTGACAGCATTCCTGCTACCATTGACATGTATTGTTACTGATACTACTGTTGTTGTTGGCAGCAATCATCAGTACTGGATTTCTTGATGGCGATCTTTGACTTGAACTGAAGCTGGGCTTGTAGATGAGATTGCAGCTTTAAGCACGTAGTCAGATTCAAGCACTGGACGCACAATGCCGCTAATCTCTGAAACCAAAGCCTCAAGTCCGAACAGCGCAGGGCGCTGTGGGAGTAAAAGCACAGATGAGCCAGAAAGACACGACCTCTACAATAAGCACAGCCCCAACCCTCCTGCCTGCCAGTGTCAGAGAGTTGCAGGATCAAACGAGGCGTGCTGCACTCGATGTTACCACTATGTACATATTCTATCTATACATGGATTGAACTGCGATGACACAAATTTCGCTACCTATAGTCGCAGTGTACCCAGTGCTGTCCCTTGCTCCTTTCAGTAAGCCCTGGGCCCTACAGCTTAACCCTGAACCCTAGACTCTAACCAACCGTGAAAGAGTTCTAGTTGTGGGATCAGGGCTGTGAGTGAGGCTTTGGGCGTTTCGGGGTTTGGGATTAGGTCTGAGGGCCGGAGATACGTTGCTCATGCCTAGGTTTCCAAGCCAAGAACCTGGCAAGCTGCACATGGGTAGGGAGCATTCGGGTTCATCGTTCTGCGGTTTCAGTCTTCGATGGCTCCTGGTACAATTCTATTATAGCTTCTCTTTGTTTGGCCATTCGTGCAACTTGATCCGAGGCAAGCCCGCCGTCCCCGAGACTTGCGGCCACGCCCCCACTGGGGGAGGCCGTCTGTGTTTCGCCTCATGGATATGGAGTTTCGAACTCGAAGACTTATCGGTCGGATATTCAGATTGCTCATGAGCTTGCATTGCATTTGGTTCCAGGCTAGGCCACATGATTAGTTGCTCATCAAAAGCGCGTGTGGATTCGGATCTAGTGCTCATTGAGAAGATATTGCGCGAACTCCGACATGTGTGCGGAAACTGGAACAAGCCTTGGACCCGAGAGGCATAGTCGCAGCGGTTTAGGGGAAGTTCGTAGATGATCGCGATACGCCAAGATTGTCTCTGCGCAAGGCGTCCTGAGCCTGAAGAATACCCGTTAGAGAAAGTCCTACGTGTCGACACGTTGCGGCAGGCAAGTCCAGGTGTGCCTTTTCTCTGTGCCTGGAGCCCAGCCCGTGGTCGGTGAAACGTGGGATCCCAAGATACTTATAGTACATACCCCAAAAACCCCGGCACTAGGATCTGCAACGTTGAGCTCTTAGCCCGGGCGCACTGCATGTCGCAACCTCGACCTCAGCTCGAGCCCAGGCGAGTCCCAAGCATGCCGGCCGTGCCATCCAGGCTGGCGAACCTCTGTCCATGGGAAAGTCAAAGCGTGTCAGTCTTGTCAACCAGAGCATGCCGCAGAAACCGAACCTCAAACCCGCACAGAGTCTGATATTGCTCCATATGCTGGCGGAGACTCTCGCGCTTCAGGGATTGTGGAGGATTTCGGTTCGGGTTTGACAGAGTAGGCGTTTAGGGGCTGTGGTTACGTGGATGGGACTTCTGCAACACTATGTGATAGACAACCCTGAGAGGTAGATCCACACTTGCACTTGTCCAAGCTTTGAGCTACGAGGGCTTCGAGGTCGATGAGTACGATAGACTCTCCCTCGGACTGGCAACTCACACAGGCGTTTAGGTTTAGGGTTTGGGCGACTTGGCTCAGCGCTCCCACAGAGCATCAAAAGCAGTCCCGGAGAACTGTCAGGTAGCGGCTAGTCCTCGCGCTGTGCGGGGGCTCGGACACCTCGACCCACGACTTCTGGTTTTTGGGAGTCTCGGTTCACGGGTTTGCTTTCCTGGCATTCAAAGCGCGTCTCGTTCGGCATCAGGCTGTAGGATCTGAAGAGGATCTTCTGCAGACGCGGCCATTTCCGCCGGGAATTGGGAAACTCCACAGCAGGAATGCAAGAGTTTTTGTTGCAGTGTTTTTTGATGGAGTTCTGTCAGCCATCCTGCCCATGTTTTTCGGTCTGCTGGTCAGCTCCCGTCTCTCCATGACCCTGTCTTGGTTTTGGAAATGTAGTTTTCGTGCCGAGTTCTGCCTGTTTCTGTGTTTGCATGTTGTCCTGTGCTGCTGTATGGTTCGCGTCCTGGTTCGTTGTTCGCCTGTGTTGTCCGTAACCGTGCCGCGGACTGCATGCCGCGGCCGAAATGCGAGCCTAAGCCTCCGGGTTCACTTCAGCGAAACCCAGGCTGCGATCTCGCCACAGAGCTCGCCGGCGCGCTCACCGACTCGGGCCCCAACCTCAACCCCCCCCCCCCCCCCCCCCCCCCCCCCCC